CTCAACCAAGAAAGAGAAATTAGTTCTGGGCCCTAGAGTCAGACACAACTGGACAGGGAAACCTTTAACTTTACCTTTACACAGCACAAGTGGTAGGTACGCATTTCTTTCCTGCTGTGTGTCAAGGCTGACTTGCTTTCATCGTTGCCTGCATCAGTTCTTGGAGCTACCAGCTGGCGCAGACTGTTTTCCCAAACCAAAAGTACCTAGTGTGATTGATGGACAATGAACTGTTGGTGGCCCAGGGGGTGAAAAGAGAGTTTTACCTCTGTGGGTTTTCACAGGAAAATCTCAGAGCTGACTTTGCTTCTAAGGTCAAGGTCAAGGTTCCCTCGCACATACGTGCTAGTCGTTCCTGACTCTAGGGGGCAGTGCTCATCTCCATTGCAAAGCCGAAGAGCCAGCGCTGTCCGAAGATGTCTCTGTGGTCATGTGACTAAATGCCAAAGGCGCATGGAACGCTGTTACCTTCCCACCAAAGTGGTCCCTATTTTTCTACTTGCATTTTTTTTTACATGCTTTCGAACTGCTAGGTTGGCAGAAGCCAGGACAAGTAACGGGAGCTCACTCCGTAACGGGCACTAGGGATTCGGACCGCTGAACTGCCGACCTTTCTGATTGACAAGCTCAGCATCTTAACCACTGAGCCACCGCGTCCCTACGACTTTGCTTCTGCTGTGCCTAAATGGATGTTTCAATAAAGTTTTACTCTTGGTAATTCCTAAGTGCCAGGAGTTACTTTTTGGGGAGGTGCCAAATAGGATGGTTGACACTATGTCGGGGGCGGGGGGAGCCTTTTCTGGCTGCACTACCCACCCACCAATCCCCCGATTCATGGTACCATCTGGGGATAACTCACTTGCACTCCTTCTGTGGAACGCAGTCAAATCCATCGTACAGGCACTCCTCGTTGTCACAATGGGACTCGCAGTGGCCATCTCGGAAAACCCGCTGGCACAGGTCTCGCTTCGGGCAGTTCTTCCAAGGATCGAGCAACCCCAGCGCACAGTCTCCCCCATCCCAGCTGGTCTCTGGAGAGCTGCAGATCCGGTCACAGTGGGCATCTCCTGCTAAGGACGGGCACCTGGAGAGCGAGGTGGCATTGGCAGCAGGGCAGGATGCTGCGGAACATGGAGGCCGGTGGCAGTCTGGCCCAGAGAAGCCTTCCATGCAGAGACATCGAGGTCCAGATGGGTGGGCAATGCAGACCCCTCCATTGTGGCAGTAGGAGGACCCACAAGATGGGGCGGGCAGGTCACAAGTCGATCCATCATAACCCTAGGGTAGAGGAGATCCTTTCTCAGTCTTGCTGGATTATTTTCATTCAAGTCACCGGCAATTGGGTGGCACCTCATTATTTTTCCCAATTAGCTCTTGGGTGGGTGCAGAAGCCAACCTTATGCTAGATCAGATCTTTGGCCCCATTCATCCAAAGAACACCCCATCTTCTTACTGTATTTACTCAGCGTTCCCTAAGCTCTGTCTGGGTGATGAAGCGAACAATTTCAAAATGAAAATTTAATGTAGAGAAAATTAAGGTCTTACACCTAGGCAAGAAAAACCAAAAGTACAGCAGCTGCCAAAAAAAGCCAACACAGTTCTAGGCTGCATTAACAGAGGGATAGAATCAAGGCCACGTGAAGTTTTAATACCACTTTATAAGGCTTTGGTAAGGCCACACTTGAGATATGGCATCCAGTTTTGGTCACCCTGATGTAAAAAGATGTTGAGAGTCTAGAAAAGAGTGCAGAGAAGAGCAACAAAGAGGATTAGGGAACTGGAGGCTAAAACATTTGAAGAGCGGTTGCTGGAACTGGGTATGCCTGGTCTAATGAAAAGAAGGGCTAGGGGAGGCATGATAGCAGTCTTCCAATATCTCAGGGGCCGCCACAAAGTAGAGGGAGTCAAGCTATCCTCCAAAGCACCAGAAGGCAAGACAAGAAGCAATGGGTGGAAACTAATCAAGGAGAGAAGCAACTTAGAACTAAGGAGAAATTTTCTGACAGCTAGAACAATTAATCAGTGGAACCACTTGCCTCCAGAAGTTGTGATTGCTCTGGAAGTTTTTAAAAAGATGTTGGATAACCATTTGTCTGAAGTGGTGTAGGGTTTCCTGTCTAGGCAGGGGGTTGGACTAGAAGACCTCCAAGGTCCCTTCCAACTCTGTTATTCTATTCTATTCTACAGGTACAGACTAGGTGAAACCTGGCTCAACAGTAGTAACTACAAGAGGGATCTTGGAGTCCTATTGGACAATACTTAAATAAGGGCCAGCAGTGTGTAGCAGTGGTCAAAAAAAAGCCAATCAACAGAGGGATAGAATTAAGACCATGTGAAGTGTTAGTAGTTCTTTATAAAGACCACACTTAGAATACTGCATCCAGTTTGGGTCACCCCAGTACATGTTGAGATTTTGGACAGAGTTCAGAGAAGAGCAACAAAGATGCTTAGGGGCCTAGAAGTTATAACAAAGAATGATTGCAGGAACCGGAATATCTGGTCTAGTGAAAAGAAGAGAAAGAGGTGACATGATAACATTCTTCCAGTACTTGAAGGCTGCCACAAGGAAGAGGCCTTCTTTTCATGAAATTTAATGATTTTTTGGCAAATGGCTTTCCAAACTCTTCTTGAAAATCTCCAGTGTTGGGGCATCTACAACTTCTGGAGGCAAGTTGTTCCACTGATTGATTCTCATTGTTGGCATCTATTCTCTGCCTCTCCATAGTTCTAGCTTGGTTCTTTCCTTCATAGGTTTCTTCTACCCATTGCTACTTATCCTGCCTTCGGGTGCTTTGGAAAATAGCTTGACTGCTTCTTCTTTGGGGCAACCCCTCAAATATTGGAAAACTTCTGCTCTTCAATTCTACTTTTTTTTTTCTCAGCCCCATTCATACCTGTGGACAATGGCAGGTGAATTCAAGAGGGTTCTTGGGCAGCACGCTACAGCTTCCACCATTACGGCAAGGATTTGACTGGCAACTGTCAATCATTGATTCACACAGAAGTCCTGGAGGGAAAAACAAACACAGTGTCAAAGAGTTTGTGTTCATTTTTACTTCGGTTGGTTTCTTCTTTGCAATCTACTAGCATTGTCCCTTCCTTTTTTCTAAACCTCTGGCAATTTGATCTTAGCAGTGTCTGCTACAAGGCCAGTTTCTGATGATTTGTATGTAGTTCTCCACCTACGACCACAATGGAACCCAAATTTTGGTTGCTAAGGAAGATAGCTATGAGGGGAGTTTTCCCCAAGTTAAGACCTTCCTTGCCACAGTTGTGAAGGGAATCGCTGCAGTTGTTAACGTCAAGATTCCGGCAGTTACTCCAATTAAATCACGAGCTTCGAGCCACACTCCCAAAACTAAACAGGATTTATTTGATGTTAACATTCTACGTCTGGCACTAACCTGGGCGTAGCCAACTCTGAGATACGTAATTCACTGTCAATCTTGATCCTGCTTTCCCCCCCACCCCTCTGGATGTATCATCCAACGAAAAATGTCCATAACCAATAGAGTCATCAATCATATTCTCCAATTAGTTTTTTGCACGGCAGAAGCTTCAGTCATCTAATCCAGGGGTCCCCAACCACCGGTCTGCGGACCGGTACCGGTCTGCGGAACAAGTCCTACCGGGCCGCTGGCTTGCTGGGCGCCGCCATCTTTTTTTGATGAAAAAGTGCTTCCGGTGAGCTTTTCCGGGTAGAAAGCTCACCGGAAGCATGTTTTCATCAAAAAAAGATGGCGGCGCCAGCGCTTCCGGTGAGCTTTTCTGGGTAGAAAGCTCACCGGAAGCACGTTTTCATCAAAAAAAGATGGCGGCACCAGCGCTTCCGGTGAGCTTTTCCGGGTAGAAAGCTCACCGGAAGCACTTTTTCATCAAAAAAAGATGGTGGTGCCAGCGCTTCCGGTGAGCTTTTCCGGGTAGAAAGCCATTTCATCAAAAAAAGATGGTGGCGCCCAACTGATGCCGGTACCGGGCCGCGGCGTAAAAAAGGTTGGGGATCACTGATCTAATCAGTCTTTGAAGAAAATATGAATGGAATGTACTTTCGATTCCACACTGTTGCCTGCTCTTTGAAACTCCTCCCCCCCTTCTTTCTGTTGTCAACTATAAAACGTGTATACAAAATGTTTTATGAGTTGACAGTTAAATTGGTAACACAGTTGTTAAGAAGTGAGTCTGGCTTCCCCACTGACTTTGCTCATCAGAAAGCCACAAAAGGGCATCCCATGACCCCGGGACTCTGCAACTGTCATAAATATGAGCCAGTTGCCAAGAGTCCAAATGTTGATCATGTGACTGTGGGGATGCTGCAGGAGTTGTTAAGTGTGAAAAACGGCCGTAAGTCACTCTTTTCAGTGCTGTTGTAATTTTGGAAAGGTCACTAAATGAATGGTTACCAGTCAAGAAAAATTAGGAAAAAAAATAGAATTCTTTATTGGCCAGGTGTGATTTGGACCCACAAGGAATTTGCTTACTGGGCCTCAGCGAAGCCTCTTCGTGAGGTAAATACATCAGTGTGGGGGGAGGGGGATCAGCTCAGGGGTGGGAGGCTACCAGTCCGGCCTGGTTCTATAGAACCGGTAGTTCTAAAGAGCAGCTGACACCAAACCGGTTTGCACACCCGCCCGGGCTCTTGGCTGTCCTTTATTTCCTGCTTTTTCAACCTTGCACGGCACAGCTGAAGTTGAAAAAGCAGGAAGAAGAGGATTTTCAAACGTTGCGCGCCCGCCCTCCCCCTCCCCACCAGAGGTGGTATTCAGCAGTTCTGACCAGTTCTGTAGAACCGGTAGCGGAAATTTTGAGTCATTCAGAGAACCGGCAAATCCCAACCCTGACTGACCCCATCCCCATCTATTCTCTGCCTCCCGAGTCCCAGCTGATTGGTTGGGTCTTCTTTGGTTGCCCTGCATAGGATAACGGAGCTGGAAAGCAGGTCAGTGGGGGGGCGGGGAGAATGGGATTTTGCAGTAACCTTCCCCTGCTATGCCCACCAAGCCACGTCCACAGAACCGGTAGTAAAAAATTTTTGAATCCCATCACTGCTCCCTGCCCACTCACTCTTTACCTGGCTAACTTGCCTGCTAAGTTGCTATTTTTCCTTTTTGTTTCTTCCTGACCATCAGCTGTTCTGCCGTGCCAGGAGATTTAGATTAGCTAGAAAGCAGGAAATCGTTGCATTTCTTGCTTTCTAGCTAATCTAAAAGCAGAGCCGAACCTTCCTTAGGACTGAAGCTTCTATATTTCAGGGCAGACTCGGGCAATAGATTGGCTTCACCTGATTTTGGGTAAAAGTTGTTCATTTTTAAATAAAAAAAATTCAATATTTACATAAATATTTACCATGTTTACATACAAGCCACGCCCAGCCAGTCACATGACCACCAACCCACACCCACAAATTAGGCCATGCCCACAGAACCGGTTGTTAAGACATTTGAATCCAACCCTTGGATCAGCTGTGCAGCGCGATTAAGACTAGCTAGAAAGCAAGAAATCTGGTGATTTCCTGATTTCTAGCTAATCTAAATTGTGCGGCACAGCTGATAGTTGGAAATATTGTTTTGGCCATTTTTTATTACCCGATTGTCCAAACTGGGCTGAACCAGTAGAATACCACCACTGGAAGAAAAGGAAAAATTTAGCTTTTAATTAGGTGAAAGCCGTGGGAACTTTCAGAGTTGGCTTTCACCATTCGTGCCAATATGATGTGTCCAATAAAACTGTTCTTTGAGGAATTTGCCTGTCTCGGAGTTCTACTTTCTATGGGTGCATTACTTGAAACCCTGACAGACGTACTGCAGGCTGGCTCTGCCCACTGCCAGGAATTCGATCCTTACTGGCTCAAGGTAGACTCAGCCTTCTATCCTTCCAAGGTCGGTAAAATGAGGACGCACATTGATGGGAGCAATGTGCTGACTCTGTAAGTCGCTTAGAAAGGGCTGTAAAGCTCTGTGAAGAGGTATATAAGTCTAAGTGCTATTGCTAAGTGCTAAATGCCAGTTTGGGCAAAATGTGACCACAGGACACTGCAAACGGCCATAAATGTGAGCCTGTTACTGAGTCCTCTCACTTCTGTTTCTTTTAAGAGCCGTGATGGCATGGGGGTTAGAATGCAGTATTGCCGGCTAATCCTGCCGACTGCCAGCAGTTCAATTCTGACCGGCTCAAAGTTGACTCAGCATTCTATCCTTCTGAGATTGGTAAAATGAGGACCCAGATTCTTGGGAGAATGTGCTGACTCTATGAACTGCTTAGAGAGATCTGTAAAGCATTATGAAGCGGTGTATAAGTACTATTGCTCTAGTGCTATCACCTTACCTGAATATCCAGGGTTGCAGAGACAGTGGAAACCATGTTCATCAGATTGGCAGCTCTGGGACCCCGGCCGGTGGCAAGGCTGGGAGAAGCAGGCATCCACCACCCCCTGACACCTTTCTCCCACATATCCAGGGGGGCAGATGCACAAAAACCCCTCAGGCTGAGCCACACAGGTCCCACCATAGTAGCAGGGAGGGCTGGCTAGAGAGCAGGGATCCAGGTGACAATTGGGTCCTGGAAGGACAAAAAGAACCGTCAGATTCCTCTGTTCTTCACCCACACAGTCAACCTCATTAGCTTTCATTTTGTTTTAGGCAAAAGGTCCTTTTCATTAAAATGATGAGAGGCTGGGTTGGGAGAAACAGTAGGGGTCCAAACTGGCAACACAGTTGTGTGATCAAAGCACAAAGAGCGGCTCTAATACAGTGTTTCCCAACATCAGCCATTTTAAGCTGTGTCAACTTCAACTCCCAGAATTCGCCAACTGGGGAATTCTGGGAGTTTGAAGTCCACACAGTTTAAAATGGCTGACATTGAGAAACATTTGATGACTCCAATAAATCACTCTGGGTGGATACAAAATACTTATATCCCTAAGAGATCAATTATCAGTTATATTATTTTATATAGTGATATATATCCCCCTCTGGGGAGTATCCTGCAAACATTGGTTCTTTTGTACTGCGTGGGGTATATACTCCATTTTTCCTGGGCTGACGTGGCAGCTCATTCCCAGCCCCATTTGGGGCATAGAATTTATTACTTCAAATTATCTCAATACGGGGTGTTCCACCTGGGGCTTGACTCCCCGCCAGGCCTTCTGTCACTTTGATTGTAGGAGTCGGTTAATTGTTGCTGTTGACTCTGTGTGTTTTGCTCAGGCCTACACAAATCTCTCCCTCACCTTTTGTTCCTGGCGGACACAAGCATCGAAAACCGTCTGCCGTCTTGGTACAGGTTCCTCCATTGAGACAATTTTGTGTTGGCGGGCACTGGAAGGAGAGAGTGGTCAGCAGTTTCATCACTGCAGTCCTCAACTTACAACAATTCGTTTAGGGATCGTTCAAAGTCACAATGTCAGTGAAAAAAGCAACACATGACCATTTTTCACACTTACGACCATTGCCGTATCCCCATGGCCACATGTGTCAACTAAAAAAATACTTCTTTGGTCTTTGTAGTTGCCAGCAGAAAGGGAGTGGGGGAAAGCAGTGCATTCCTTAAATGCTTCAGATAATCGCCTTGGCAGCCAAAGCTGTTGGCGCACAAGATTATTACTGGAGAGCATGATTGAGGACTCTTGGCTATGGATGTGTCTCATTGGAGAATATATATCCAGGGGGTGGGGTGAAAGCCAGGGTCAAGGGTGAAATTAATGATGTGTCAGAGTCTGCTGCAACCAGGAAACACCGACATATTAACTCCTAATAAATCAATCTTTTTTTATTCTGAGAGATGTGGCTAGAGACTTATGATTTGAATGGGGGTGCATGTTGGAATCCTGACAGCGTGATGCTTGGCGACTGACTCATATTATGATGGTTGTGAGGTCTTGGAGTGTCGTGCCAACACTTTTGCAACCTTCTGACAAGTGAAGTCCGTGGGGAAGCCAGATTCAGTTAACAACCGTGTTACTAACCTAACAACTGCAGTGATTCACTTAACAATGGTGGCAAGAAAAGTTGTAAAATGGAGCAAAACTCACTTAACCACTTAGCCACAGAAACGTTGGGCTCAATTGTGGTTGTACGTCGAGGACTACTTTCAGTAGCAATAAAATCCGAGAACCCTGGACCTGGGACCACAGTATTTAAGCAAACGAGTCCAATTCAAGTATCACTTACAGAAGCCTGGTCAGTTTCTCCGACGACACGTCCAGCAAAGGGGAGCCTGTTTCCCTTGTCTCTCGGTTCCACTGTAGACCTGATCTTAGGATTAAGACGTTTTACCTAAAATTTAAGCCAAATTGAGCAACACAAATGACTGGAAAGGAAGTCAAAAAAAAAGGACTGGAAACGAGGAACCGGGTATGTTCCTGGGTGGAGCAGAGCAAGTATAACCAGGGGTGGGCTTCAAACATTTTAGCAATGGTTTCTTCTGCCTAGTTGTTGCGTGAGTGTGGCCATGGTGGGCGTGGCCTAGTTGGCCTCCTACACCATGGTGTGTGTGTGGGGGGGGGGGCGTTTTTTGCCCTCCCTGACTCCGGAGGCTTTCCTCGAGCCTCCAGGAGGGTGAAAACGGCGTCCCTGAGGTCCAGAGACTCTCTGGAAGCTGAAAATGGGCCCGTTTCTGGCTTTCCTGAACTTCTGGGAGGCCCATTTTTCTCCCAGGCCTCTGAGAGGACAAAATGGCCTCCCCCGAGCTTTGAAGGCCCTCAGGAAGCCAGAAACAGGCCCATTTCTGGACTTCCGGAAGTTCCAGAAGGGCCATTTTTCACCCTCCCAGAGCCTCCGCATGCACCCTGCACTTACCTGCATCCAAAATGGGCCACGTGGGGACTCCTGGGAGGGGTGGGTGGGGCCAGCCCGGAGTGGGATTTGGGGGTTCTCTGAACTGTGAAGAATCTTAGCTAGCGGCTCTCCCGAACCCCTGCGAACCCCCAGCAACCCAGGCCTGAGTATAACACCACCAACCAGATGCATTTTAAACAGCTGCTTGCTTTGCAGACCAACATCAAAGCTCCTTGAATGGATTTCCATGCAATGACATTTTCTCTGCTCATTCCTGGAGGGGCAGCTATGGTTAAAAGGGTACAGGGTGGGATTTGGCCGGTTTGGACCGGTTTGGGCGAACTGGGTGTTAAATTTACATCTGTTATGCCAAACAGGTAGTTGAACCAACTGGCTGGCCTCGCCCACCCCACCCCTCCCCTCCCAGGAGTCTCCACATGGCCCGTTTTGGATGCAGGTAAGTGCAGGGTCCATGTGGAGGCTCTGGGAGGGTGAAAAACGGCCCTCCTGGAACTTCCGGAAGTCCAGAAATGGGCCTGTTTCCGGCTTCCTGAAGGCCTTCAAAGCTCAGGGGAGGCCATTTTGTCCTCCCAGAGGCCTGAGGGAAGCCCCCGGACTCTGGGGAAGGTTAAAAATGGCCCTCCTGTAAGTTCCAGAAGTCCAGAAACGGGCCTGTGTCCAGGTTTCAGAGGGCCTCTGGAGCTCGGGGGAGGCCATTTTTGCCCTCCCAGAAGCCTGAGGGAAGCCTCTGGAGCCTGTGGAGGGCAAAAAACGAGCCTCCCTGAAGTTCCAGTAGGCCATGCCCACCATGGCCATGCCCCACGCAGCAACCAGGCAGAGAACCGGTTGCTGGGATTTTTGAATCCCACCCTTGACCGGGTTGCATTCCCTCCTTGAGACTTTCAAGGGTCTATCACAGCGATGGCAAAACTATGACACATGCGTCAGAAGTGACACATCCTGTTTGGGGGACAGGCCAGCGATTGTCCACACCCGACCATTATTTTCAAAAGCATGTTCTCATGCAATTTTTGGAGGTCGTGGAGGCTGTGTGGGCGAATGGGGTGTACTCTTGCGTGGCCTCCAGAGCCTCTAAAAATTGTGTGCGAATGGGACATTGCCTTTGTACAATTTTTGAAGGCTGTGGAGGCCAACTGACAATGAGGTGGCCTCATTGTACAGCCTTCAAACCGTCCGGAATTTGTACAAGAGGACTATGTTCTCATGCAACCTCCAGAGCCCTGGAAATGAGTTTGTTTTAGCTATATGTCATTTTTGTAATTATTTGACATTTCTTTATAAAGTACATAGCAGGAGCCACGGCGGCGCAGGGGTTAGAGTTGCAGTACTAAAGGCTACTTCTGCTGACTATCGGCTGCTTGCAATTTGGCAGTTCAAATCTCACCAGGCTCAAGGTTGACTCAGCCTTCCATCCTTCCGAGGTGGGTAAAATGAGGAGCCAGATTGTTGGGGGCAACAGGTTGACTCTGTAAATCGCTTAGAGAGGGCTGTAAAGCACTGCGAAGCAGTATATAAGTCTAAGTGCTATTGCTGTTGCTAGTACCACACAATTTGACTATTTCTTTTTATATAAATGATCTTATAGAGAATTCTCTTTTGTTTGGGGAAGGGGGGAATGACACACCGGCAGAGTCAAATTAGGCATATCCCAACATTTTGAGGTGCCCGCACTCACTGATCTATCAGGTAGATGCCATCACCCACCTGATAGATGAGATTGAACAACCATTTGTCTGAAATGATATAGGGTTTCCTGATTGAGCTGGGGGTGGGACTAGAAGACCTCCAAGGTCCCTTTCCAGCTCTGTTATTCTGTTACCTCTGTGTTCTAAACTCACCTGGCAACCACCTTCTCCGCTCTGCTCCGTGCAGTTGTCTCTGTTCTGCTTGGTCCTGTGTTGGCATCGGGGGCCACCCCATCCTGGAGGGCAGAGGCAGTGGGGCGCAGACTCTTTCACTCTGCATTGGCCTCCGTTCTTGCAGGCATCTGAGGCATGTGGTAGAAAGAAACAAATAGGGAGACCCAAGTTGTCAGGCATTCAGCTCAGGAAGGGTTTTGGGATGCCACCTGCTCATTCAGGAGCATTCTGCAATGTGTGGGGGAAATGCTACAAATTTAGAATTTCGGCATTTGAGCCTTTCTAGTTAGTGATAAAGCCCCATTTCCTGGCTATATCGCTAACTAGCCAAGTATTTTGTTCCTAAAAGGTAAAGGTTCCCCTCACACATCCGTGCTAGTCGTTTCCGGCTCTAGGGGGCAGTGCTCATCTCCCTTACAAAGCCGAAGAGCCAGCGCTGTCCGGAGATGTCTCCATGATCATGTGGCTGGCATGACTAAATGCCAAAGGCACACCGAATGCTGTTACCTTCCCATCAAAGGTGGTTCCTATTTTCCTACTTGCATTTTTACATGCTTTCGAACTGCTAGGTTGGCAGAAGCTGGGACAAGTAACGGGAGCTCACTCCATTATGCGGCACTAGGGATTTGAACCACCGAACTGCTGACCTTTCTGATCGACAAGCATCTTAGCCACCGTGCAAAACGTAATCACCGAACCGGTAGTAGCACCGGTTGAATCCCACCCCTGGTGTATTCCATCACATAAAGCAGGTTTTTTTTTTCAAACTGAGCTATATCGGTGGACTCCCAGAATTCCCCAGTCAGCATGGAGTTGAAAGTCCAACCAGAGGTGGCATTCAGCAAGTTCTGACCAGTTCTGGAGAACCGGTAGCGGACATTTTGAATAGTTCGGAGAACTGGCAAATACCACCTCTGACTGGCCCCGCCCCCATCTATTCTCTGCCTCCTGAGTCCCAGCTGATAGGCTGGGTCTTCTTTGGTTGACCTGCAGAGGAGAACGGAGCTGGAAAGCAGGTTAGTGGGGAGGGGAGGGAACGGGATTTTGCAGTATATCCTTCCCCCTGGAGTTGGGAGGGAATGGAGATTTTACAGTATCCTTCCCCTGCCACACCCAACAAGCCACACCCACAGAAAGGGTAGCAAAAAAAAAAATATTGAATCCCACCACTGGGTCCAACCATCCTAAAAAGTTGCCCAGTTTGAAAAACACTAACATAACATATAATATAAAAACACTAACATCATATATTATATAAATATTCCAAAAACTGTTAACGTGTGTGCTTTTGCAGGGCAACGACATGTGAGAGAATTGGTTAAGAGTGCAGAGCTGCTGGTGCTGCTAGATACTCACAGCCTGAGCAAAGGTCCAGAGTAACCTGGCATTTGGATCCTGAATAACCTCTGGGGCAGATGCAATGAAAACTTCCAGGGCTGTTAAGACAAGTTCCAGAATTCAAACAGGGGCTCGAAGAGCATTCGTCCGCGTCTGCATCGCACGCTGCCCCTGCGAGGGACGGAAGAGTCAATGATCTGGGGAGGAGCCGTTGTGCCTGAGAGCTGCCGGGCCGCCCAAAGGAGGAACTGACAGATTCAGACTGTTGTTACCTACGTAGCCGCTGGGGCAGAGGCACTGGAAGGATCCCTGGCGGCTCAAGCAAGTAGCCCTCTGGTGGCACGGGCTGGAATGGCAAGCATTCACCTCTGCCTCGCACGTCCGGCCGGTCCATCCAGGTGAACAGGTACAAAGCGGACTTGGAGAAAAGAAGGGGGGGGGGAGAGAGCAAATGGTTTTATTTTATATTTTATTTTTCCATTTGTTATTTTATTTTATTATTTATTCATTTTGTTTTAGATGTTAGATTATTTTAGATTCATTTTATTTTTTTATTTTAGATTTTGTTTTATTATTAATTTTATTTTTAACATTTTAAATTTTTTTGGATATTTTATTTTTATTTTATTTGATATTTTATTATTAATCTGATAATATTTGATATTATTTGATATTTTATTTGATATTTGATATTTTGATATTTGACATTTGATCTTTTATTTTTATTTGATCTTTTATTTTACATTTTTATTTTATATTTTATTTTATTAACAGGTTACACAGTGTCCTACCTCATGGCCATGGTGAACCTGAAATGGTTCCAGTTAGCCTTATTCTTGAGCTGTGATGGCAAATCTACGGCACGCGTGCCACAGGTTGAACCCCAGGCAAACTTACCTCACTGCACATGCGCGCGCCTCCCAGCTGATTTTCGGGCCTTTTTTTTTGGCCTCCCAGAGGCTCAAGGGAAGCCTCTGCAGCCTTTGCAGGCCAAAAAACAGGCTCATTTCATCACTTCCTGTATTTCTGGAAATACCAGAAGTGATGAAACGAGCCCATTTTTCAGCCTCCAAAGGCTGCAGAGGCTTCCCTGGAGCCCCTGGGAGGCTGAAAAAGGCCTGAAAATCATCTGGGAGGCGTGCACATGTGCAGTGCAGGTAAGGGGGAGGCGGGGGGATCACACGTGCATGTGCAGGGGGTGTGGGGGGTGTGCATGCATTGCCTTCTGGGTGTTGGCATGCGAGCGAGAGCACAATTTTTGGCACAGGAGCCCAAAAAGTTTAGCCCCCACTGTTCTACAGGAATTTTGTCATATTATTGCAGAAGAATGACAGTGAAATCACAGCTTCACAGACCAAATTGGGGAGGGGGTTTATGTCATCTGCAGGCCTTTATTAAAGGCCAGCATACTCCCCATTGCAAGTTGCCTGACGTAGCTCCTAATAGGATGCAAATTATGCAAATTAGGTCATGCATGGCTATTTATGTAAATTATGCTGTGATACAAATGATGTTGATTGACACAAATGATTATGGAGGGCTATTTGCATAAAGATGCTGCGATGCTAATTAAAGGGAATTGTGCCAATAGGGTGCATTTGTTTCGCATCTCTTTTAAAAGGCTTGACTGGATTCGTTCAGATGCATACGGTCTCCTCAGGGGCCCTTTGGGGAATTGCTTGGTGGAAGTTTCAGCGGGTTTGACATCCGTTAAGCTGGAGAGAGCATTAAACGGAGGTCCTATTCTAGGATTTGGGAAGATAAAATTATATATATATATATCGGTAGTCCTTGACTTATGACCATCATTGGTGTTCTGACCCAGGGTTAGCAGAACCAAGAAACAGACTCCTTGTCCTGAAAACCCCCTCTTTATTTAGTTCCTGTGAATTCATGGCATTCACACACAGAAAAGTCCCTTCAATCATCCTTCCAAGGGTTAATTCAAGTACAGACATTATCGGTGGCCGAGAGCTTCCAGTTGCAAAGCTGTAAATTAATTCCTGGCAAGGAATCGGTGAGTCTCCTTGCAGACAGTTGGTCATTTGCGTCCTTTTAGAGGGTGGTTGAAGCCTCTTAGAGATTTATGTCATTGTCACCTGACTAATGCAAATGCACCGATAAAAATCCAAGTGGCCTCAACGACTCTCTGCAAGGAATATAAATCCTTCCATTCCCCACCATCCAGTCTTAGCTGAAGATGCTTCTTGGATGAGAAGTGAAACGTCTTCAGAGAGGAAAAAACAAGAAAGTGCAGTTGCCTCCTGAAAAAGGCACCTTTGGGACAACCATGACCTGGATGAATGAGAATCTCTACAGACTTTTGGTGTGTTCTAGTTCTCACAGAGTTTAGAGGGAAGGCGGAGAGAGAACGCCACTGAGACTTGCAGGGTTCTGTTCCTATAACCTTATAATAAATGTACATTTATTTTACTTTAATAAAAGTACTGTCAACTCGTAAATCATTCCTATGCCAGTTTCCAAGTTGCCATAAGGAGGAGAGGGGGAAAGGCCTGAGGGAGCAGTGCGGCAGGTGAAGGCCGTAAGCACATTCCACGCTTCTCTTGTGGAGATTGTAGCCTAGGCTACTGGATCTTCTGCCCTTAAAATGTGTGATTGATTACACCCAGACCGTGTTTTGTTGGAGAATCTGATTTATGACACACCCAGCCGGGGGGGGGGGGGGGGAGAACAAGGTAATAGATGATAGTAAATTATATGTCTCAGAGTTGGCTTCATATGGGTTAGTGCCGGACATGTTGCTCCTAATAAATCTTTTGGATTCTTTTGAAGCTTGGTTTGAGGCTCATGATTTATTAGAGCAATAATCGTCAGAACAAGTACATTTATATTTACATGCATGGCTTTGGTTTCCTAGTCCAGTCTACCTTGAAGAACTGACAGATCCATCCTTACCCGGATTCTGTTCCGTGGCAACTGCCTCCATTAAGGCACTGAAATGCCCAACAAGGGTCAGTGAATTCCTTGCAGAGAGGTCCTGTGAATCCTGGAGCGCAAACACAGGTGAAGGAGCCGGGGACATTCACACAGGTTCCATGCTCGCAAGGGGCACCACGACAGAAATCAACATCTCTCTCACACTGAAGTCCCTCGAAACCTGGGGACAAAATGTTGACACCATCAATCTTCTTCTGCCTTTTATCTGACCCTTATCCAAAGGTTATTCTGCCCCAACTCAGAAAGCTCAGGCTGCCCCAGGAGCCGCTGATGATAGAGGTCTACAAAGGAATGATTGAGTCTGTCATTTGTATCTCTGTAACCATCCGGTTTGGCACAGCTACCAAACAGGGACAGGCAAACAAACTTCAATGGAGACTTAGGACTGCAGAAAAAAACAATTGCAACCAGCTTGTTGAGGACCTGTATACTGCGGGAGCCAGAAAGAAGGCTGTGAAAATTTTTACAGATCCCCTCACATCCTGGACATAAACTGTTTCAACTTCTTCCCTCAAGATGACACCAAAACAACCAAAGACAATTTTCTCTCCATGCTATTGCTCTGCTAAACAACTGTAGTAAGCTCCCCCCTCCAGTTAAATGTTCTTTATTCTTAATATTAAGAGAGGCAGAATGTTCTATTTCCCCAAAGGAGAAATGGAGAAAACATGTTCTTAAAGGCAGAAAGCAGTCTTTTTTTCTTTCTTTTTTTAAAAATTTATTTTTATTGCACATTTTCCAACATTTACACAAATTTCCAATCTTTACAGCATTTCAGTATCGGTATCACTCATAGTTATATATTAGTATTTTCATTTCTCTTCCTTTCTTCTTATACACTATTCTTATAATAATATTCTTACACATATATTTTGCCTTTTCACAAATATCTACATATATATAATTCCTGTCACTCTTAAGTCACCTTTATCTATAGTCTTTACATCGATTCTCTAACCACTCATACTATGCTGTCCAGACAGTATATAGTAACGGGAATTGAGATAGTTAAGTTAGAATTGGGAGCTGTCCCCTTAAGGGAATGCCTCATGGTTAAATGTAGTTAATGCATCCTGGGAAATGTAGTTCATGTCATGTGGTCACATCTGTAATCCTGATTGGTCACTGAATTGACCCTTGGTTGGGTTGGGGGAGGTTCCTTCACTCTTGCCTGGACCCCAGCAGTGTGCTGGTGACTAAACCCCCTCGCTCCTTCATTATGGGATGAAAAGATCACTATCCTTTTACACTATGAAGACGACTATGCAAAGATTTGGACATTAAGATGAATCTCGATGTAACTGTGAGTTATATTTGAGGATGCCTGGTGAACCAATAAAGAAATTTTGTATGGATGCCTTTGTAGAGTTTAATCAGTCTGTCTTTATATTCAGCTAGTAATTAAAGGACAGAACACATACCATGTGCCCCAAATAATGTAATATTCTGTTTCTTCCTTATCTTTTAACTCCATTGTTAATCTGTCCATCTCCGTGCATTCAAGCACCTTTTTTATCACTATCTCTTCTGTGGGAATGTTGTCCCAGTCTTTCTTAACAGCCTCCAGCAGATGACTGAAGTCTTTAGAGATGGATATTTTTTGCCTATTGAGAAAGACTGGGTCAACCTATTCATAAACAAAACACCTTCAGCTCCAGCTGATGGGATTAAGAATTTACACCCCACCCCAAATTCTAAGGAGAAGACGTGACCTCTAGGACATAATAGGATTAACCCTAGAATAGCAAAAGACACAAGGCTCGCTATATTGCACAACTCCCTGGAGCATCTCAGAACCCTATAAAAAGCCATCCATTCCTAAGCCAAGGGTTCAGCCACCCCAGAAACATGCTTCTGTCAATGAAGTTTCTGGAATCCAAATTCTTTCCTTGCAGCCAATCAGCCTCAATTTTATTTCTAGTGCCTTTCTCCCGGCTTGGAACCAAACCGGATTTTGCTTCCCACACAACTAATGTCAGGCTTTCAAGTGATGAAATCCATTTAAAAAGAAAAGAGCAAAGTCCATCTTCCAAAACAATTTTTTTTTTATTTAGGAAAGCATCAAATTGGCAAAGTCTGTTGTAATGCCAGATCTGACACAACCTGGAATTACGCCATATAATATTGGAAATTAGAAACAGCCCCCCAAAATCACATTCCCCAATAGAAGTAAATCAACATTGCCTGGTGTCATCAATCTCTACCTCCAGGTCTCAGCAAGGTCAGCTTTCGTTCCCACGGGAAGGAGAACCACCTAGCCTAAACAACTCTCTCTACCTCCACTCCTCCCAATTTAGGAATGTGACAAGCCCGAAACCCTTCCCCCCATAACCAGCAAAGAGAAAGAAAGAAAAGGAGTATATAATAAGGCTAAATAAAATGGCTACGCATATGTCAGTTTCGGGCTTGACACTAATTCCTACAACACTGTCTATGCCCTAGCATGTCAAACCACCTAGTAGGGCTGTGTTACCTATTATCCTTTTCACCTTTTCATTTTTCCTATTACCTAATTTCCTTAGTTTCTTACAATTATAACTTTGTTGTTTGTATCTCATGATTTAGGTTAATTGTCTTAGTTTATAAAAAGTGCAAAGAATATTCCAGTACTTCAGAGGTTGCCATAAAGAGGAAGGGGGGGGGATCAATAAGGAAACCGTAAGGTAAATAAGGTAAGGTAAATAAGGAAACCGTAGGCAGGACAAGAAACAATAGATAGGAACTAATGAAGGACAGAAGCAACCTGGAACTAAGGAGAAACTTCCTAACAGTGAAGACAATTAACCAGTGGAACAGCTTTGCCTTCAGAAGTTGCGGGAGCTTCATCACTGGAGGTTTTTAAGAAGGTACAGGGCAGTGATGGCTAACCTTTTCAGCTTGGTGTGTCGAAAATCAGGAAAAAGTGTAGCCTTCCTCGGGTCATGTGTCACTTCAAGAAATATCAATAATTTGGTTTATGACGGACTGGGCTGGGGTGATCACACAGGGCTGTGAAACTCGTCTCCCTGGTCTCAGAGCTGCAGGTGCAGGATGTGGGGATCGGAAGGCCACCTTACAGGGCTGTGAACCTCATGGATCTCCTTTCCTCCTGTAGCGTTCCTGAGGTAATGAAACTGACAAACCTCAATTTATGGCGGTTAAAACTGGTTCTCTGCTGCAAAGATCTTGCGGCAGCGGTGACACCACGCCTCCACGCAACAAGCAGGGAGCAGGGATTGGAGCAGAGCACAGGGAGCCTCTAAATGTGCAGGTTTTCCCCACACCAACAGGCGTGTCAGTCAAAGTGCCTCGGCGTGTCACGAGTGACACACATGTCATAGGTTAGCCATCACTGGTATAGGGTCTCCTGCTTGAGCAGGTGGTTGGACTAGAAGACCTCCAAAATCCCTTCCAGCTCTATTCTGATTGATTTATTACACTATTATGTTGTTTGCTTATTAAGTATCTTATGACTATCACTGATTGTTGAATCTTATGATTTATGCTGTTGCATATAATGATTATGATCACGATTTATCACTGGTTGCTTGTATGTACACTGAGAGCTTATGTACTGGAGAGAAATTCCTTGTGTGTCCAATCATACCTAACCAATAAAGAATTCTTATTTTATCCCAGGAGCGTCTGCAGGAGAGTCCAAAAACAAACAACAACAGCAAACAAACAAACAAAACCAACCCCAGTCAAGAACGTGATGTAGTTTCTCTAGAATTGTATTTGCTCAGAATAGGAAAAATGATAAGATACCGGCAGAGGGAAAAGTAATTGAAAAAAAAAATTGAAAGTGCAGAAATTAGAAATTAAAGAAAAAAAAGAATCTGAATATTACATGGTATGGGATTTGTTTTATCAATGGTTAGAAAACAAATTAAAATGGATTAGATCTATTTACAAAGTAATAAGAGGAAGCTTGTAAAATAGATGGATATTACTTATATTATTAATATGGGAATGTGATTATTGTTATATTGATAATAAGAGTATTACTAGTAACTGTTAAACACATGAAATATGTAGTTCAGAGAATCAGCAAACACTCTGACTGGAGATTTTATGGTATCCTTCCCCTGCCACGTCCACAAAGCCACGCCCACAGAACTGTTAGTAAAAAAATTGAATCCCACCACTGTCTATCTCTATATCTCTATATCTCTATGTCTCTATATCTCTATATCTCTATATCTATCTATCTATCTATCTATCTATCTATCTATCTATCTATCTATCTATCTACCTACCTACCTACCTATCAAAGATGGTGATGCAGTTTTCATAGAGAGGTGGTCTCTTTAATTTTCTCCTTGCTGATACCCCCGCTCTACCCAGAATAAAATCTACCCAGAATAAAATCTACCCAGAATAAA